GGTGTCCACCTAAATGTTAAATAATGAATGGTTTTAGCTGGGTTGTGTAGTTGTATTTGGTCAGTCTTATTGGACCTTTAATTAGCCATAACACATATCTTTAACTGACACTCAAAGGATAGTGTTATAAATAATAGATGTTTAATACTTTGTTGCTTTGTCTTTCAATAAACTTTCACTAATATTCATATATTAGTTTTCTTAATATGTATTGATCATATTGTTAGCTTAGTATCTATAAATAGAAGTCATGTTATAATGTAAGTACTTGTGAATAACATAGTAAAAGAATTTGATTTCTAACATTGACTATTTCCTTTTAGTTCTTAACAAGTTTAATAAAAATTTAATTATAAAGATAGAAACCATAATTTTGTTTGAGGGGGTACTCTTATGTTTCTACCGTTAGTTTCACTAATTTGTGTGGTTTTGCTCCTTGTAACATTGATTGCTTAAATTAGGAGAATTTTTTATTGCATCCTGTATGTTTTTAATGCACCGTGTGAATTTTCACATATGTTCTCTGATTTCGGAAATATATCTTCGAACGCACCTATTTCTGAATAAACGTTGACATATTCCAGAGATACATCTCCAGGACCATTTTAAACATTCAGAACAAGCACCCATAAACCATTTACATTTGAATTATTCCGGAGATACATATTTTGTAATATTCCGGAGATACATCTCTGAAGTGTATCAGAATAGGTTCCTTTTTGCTTTAAGATGTGTATTTATTTTCAGATGAAGTATGAAGCACGAACTTGAATAAAAAATAGACGTACAAAATAATAAGAGACTAATATTGGTTGTGTCGAAATAATATAGCAATATAATAAGAAAATATCGTACAATCCAGATTCAAAATGTAGTAACAATGTCAGAAATAAAGTACAAACTATAGCATTACAACAAAATAATAATATACAGCTATTGGGTGTGCCTGAAAATCTTTTCTCTACCGCCTATGTTTGCTTTGCCTCCTCGGTCATCAATCTCCCCGACCTCCGGCAATGTCTATGGTACAATAAGGCCCCATATGCCTCTGCCACTATGGCATCCAGGACTCGCCTAGCAGCAAACCTCTCAAGGAAGATACCCTCTTCAATTCCTGCTCGCGTAATCTCCACTATGCGATGACACCGAGGCAAGACATTATTAGTATGATCTAGCTAAGTCTACTCCTCCTCAAGTATCTTTTGATGAGTTGGTCTCGAAGAATCTTCTGGAGCAGTCTGTACCATGTACAGATGTGACACCCTGAAGAACCACCTGATGTACTCATTGATGTAGCTTTAATCGTTCGGTGCTATGATAGCTCGTGCCTCGTTTGATACCAGATGACTTTGAAAATCAGCAAACATCTCCACTATCTGTCTACGAGACAAGGTAGGAGGAGTAGAGACAACAAGGTCTCTGAGGATGGTCTTGGTGTACCCGAATTGCCACATGACGTGCTTGGGCATAAGAGGAGGAGTGATACGTGATCCGCAAGCCAACCACCTGGAGTATAGGTTTATGTCGTCAAATAGTCGCGTCTGACGGTGATCCACGTAGATGTTGAAGTGCATGTCTTTAGCAACCAAAGGTCAATGTAGACTCTGAAAGGCTCAAACCTAGCATGAGCACCCTTGGTCCTATCCACCTCCTCAATCTCCTTCCCTCGATCATCCTCCAAATGCTCTACCATCATCTCAATTGCCTTGTCTTTGTTCATTCTACCATGATCGAGGAATCTCCCCTGATCGGAAGATGTAACAAACACGAGACATCGTTCAGTGTGATAGACATCTCACCAAGCGGGAGATGAAAAGAAGAGGTCTCATACAATAACAGACTACGGGATATTCCGGAGATATATCTCCAGAAAGATTATAAAACAATAATGATGGACAATTTTGAAGATACATCTCCAGAAATACCATAAAACTATTACCTTTGAAGAGTTCCAAAGATGTATCTCCAGAAATTCCCAAAGGATATGAAACGTTGAACTATTCCAGAGATGTATCTCGGAAAGTTCTACAACTCAGGAGTTGAAACAATTGCGTAAAGTAACTCATGCAAGTTGAAAAAACATGATATGATCGTTGTTTTGAGCCAACAAACAAATCATATACTAAGTCTAAACTATGTTACATGTGAATCCTACACATTTCTAACCCTAATCATTGATTTCTAAACATTTACACAAAAACTCAAAATTTATCCGAAAATTCAAAAATTTACTTGAAATTTATGGTTTTGATGATGTTGAATGATGTTTGATGTTCCTCTCAATCCTGTTTGATGAAATTTGATGTTCTGAAAAAGTTAAAATTTTATGTTGAGAGAAGAGTTTGAGAAGTGTGAGGGAAAAGAAGAGTCTGGCATGATATATGTTCCAAATTGTTCTGAAGATATATCTCCGAAATATTTCAACGTTCAATAAACTTTAGACGCGTTTGAAGATATATCTCCAGAATCAAGAAATATTTGTGAAATTTCATATAGTGCGTTAGAAATACATGAGTGGAAAAAAAATTGTCTAAATTAGACCCTCCATACTTTTCATTTTTTTGTTTGCAGTACAAAAAGGACCTATGTTCAAAGAGAATAGACTAAGTCTGGTGTTATACTCATCTATACAATATATAAAGAGAATATTTTATTTTAGTGTAATATATTTTTCTACCATCTTTACCCTTATTTTATTGTATAATTTACTTAATAACTTTTTATTATTAACTTTCACATAACTTCTTATTATTAACTTCCATATACTGAATTTTTTTAAAATTTTATTTAACAAAAAATATTATTTATATTTTCATTCATGCACATTAAAAAAACGGACAAAGATATACGCGAGAGCCCATCTAGACGCTAATATTCTATAATATAAATTGTTAAAGGAAAAAGTTTTCATAAACTAATCTATTTTTTGTATAAATGTTAATGACTTCTTATTAAAAAAAATTATTCTTTATGGTTATTATAATCATGATTGAAGTTACAGATCATGACTCATAATGTCATTTGATGTTCTTTAACAATTAAAAAAGAAATATCGCAGATGTAAATACAAGCCAAGATAATTTTAAAAAATGACACAAAAGTTTCATATCCATATTTCAAGTCAAAATCAGGTCTACAAGCCAAGATAATTCAAATCTGGAACACTGGGCCATATTAAAATGAATTACATGTTTCTGAAACTATAATCTCTACTAAATTAAATTGAAACCCTAGCATACTATTCTTCTTTGTTAAATCACACCCGAATGAAACTTGGACCTTTGACAAAGGCATCACTATGCTTCTTTGATCTATAGCACTTCCTGTTTCTATAATAATAAGATACTGGAAGGTAAGTTGATGCTTTTGTGATCACAAGATTGAGTGGAGCTGGATACGAATCTTCTGAACATGAGCTGAAAATCCAAAACAGAAAAGGAAACCCTAATTAGAACAACGCGAGATTTAATTCATTGGAAAAAAAATTGTTTTGACTCATTAAATGTGATAAAAACAGATTCAAGTAATCATGAAAATTTGGAATCAAGATGTCTTCATTCACACGTTACCTTGCAGAAGATGAGCATTGCTTATAATTTTCCTGAGTATTTTCGTTCCGAATCTTTTCGTCAATAATCTGAAAATATAGAATGTTATTAGAAAACCAAGATTAACATGAGGGTGAATTCAAATCTTCAAGATGATTGGAAAACAAAATACCTGAAAATTGAAATATGATTCAGGATGAAAGGAAAGGTACTCTTTTTCTTTGGTAGGAGTAGAACCATTCTCATTCTTGAAAGCATTGAGATTCCAACTCCATGGAGTGAGAAATGAATCATCTTTCTCAAGAAAGGACAAGAATCTTGCATCAAGTTTTGTATCCTTCAATCTCTTAGTAGCATCATCGTTATCACTAGTTACCATGGTATCAATGAGATCACTTTCGTCTTTTGTAAAATATCTGCACTTCATGGTTCTTGACAGGCTAAGAGAACCAAATGATATGTTCTAAAATATGAATTGAAAAAACGCTTAAGAAGGTATATATAAGGGGCGTGTGGCAGCTAAAGATAACTTTGAAGTCATACAAGATATGGGATCTTATTCAAAATAAGTAGATTTTGAAGGTGTTAACTGAAATATTTGAGTAAAAATATTATATATATATATATATATATATATATAATTTTTAAAATGTTTGTATGATATATCTAAAGAGATTTTCCCAATTAAACAATTAAAAGATCAATTTTAATAGTATTAAATATCCATAAAGTAAATCTTATAAAATCTTATAAAAAGATCAATTTTTAACTGAAATAATATATCCATAAAGTAAATCTTTATGCTTTTATTGTTGATCCCTTCCGGACCTGTATTGCCATAATTAAATCATTATAGATAGTAAATGTAAAATTTTTGGATTTAGAAATTGTTTACTTGTTTTTAGTCATCTCTTAGATTTACTTAATTTGATTGAAAAAGTATTAATTTAATATTATTGTAAATAAGAGTTCATCTTTTATTGTAACTTGCAAATATTTAAACCAACTCATCTATTTGGTCCAACCCAAACCAACTTATCCCGAGATATTTGGTTAGAACAGTAGTTTGAAATTTAAACCCACTAATATGGCATATATAATTATTAAATATTTTCAAAAAAAAAATGTCCCGACAAAGTAGACATCACTTAGTCACTTACTGTAAAACTAATCCATTTATATAACTAATCCTTCAAGGTTTCCATACACAGATTTAAACTTTTCGTGTGAAATACGGTATTGAATTAGAGAACTGCCATTTCAGGATATAGCTGATCTACAATTCCACATATAACAACAGAGAACTGCCATTTCAGGATATAGCTGATCTACAATTCCACATATAACAACAGTTACCCTCAAATACACAAGGTTGTATTGTATCATTTCCAATGAACTTTATACATCAATAGAAGAATGGTAGCTCCAATGAACATCCACTATCTCTAAAACTCAGTATGATGGTTTGTAGTTGTACCTGCCCCGCACACTGGCAGGAGATTGAACACCTCTGTCACTCAACATATCGTAACAATCTATTTCACTATTATCTGAGTAAACACCATTTTGGTTTACACTCGTTTCAGAACCAGCATTGCTGCTAGTTGCATGTGGAGAACCCAAGACACTAACATTTATACTTCGCTGATGTCCTGACCGCACACTATACTTTGAAGAAGCTGGAATGTTTGTCATTGATGGTCGCATATTTCCTGGAACCCTTTTTCTTATATCCTGTTCAAAGAGAAACCATTGAAATAATTAATAATAAAAAATTAAGTGAGACAAACACTAATTGAGGAACTCAAGTAATCTTGAAACACTATGCATCCTGATCTAGAAAGGGAATAAGTTACTATGTATAGCATTTTACAGTATTTTATGCAAAAGTAGTGATTGACACTATGTAGAAGGTGCATTACAATTTTACTCTGAACTAGTGAAAGAAAAATACAAAATTTGCATATGCATACCATATGCCTAATAGCCATATCCAAGGATTTCTTTGAGAGTGTTCTTCCAAAGCCAGAGCTATCTGGAGATGGAGATGACTTGCCAGAGAGGTTACTACGGGGAGAGTTTTTGACATCCATCTTAGGAGGTGCTAGTTTCCTCATATTTATTACCCTCTCAACCATTTTGGTGCCCATTGCAACAGGACTGACTTTGTCATTCATTTTAGAGTATCCACGATTAACGGCAGGCATTGAGCTTCCACTTGTACGAGAAATGCCATTGGCGGGCCGTCCTCTAGAAGGAGAGCAGGATTGTCTCTTTGGTCTGCCACTAGAAGCAGGCTCAATTGAGGAAGAGCGTCCTGAGGGTGCTCCAGGTCTTCCCCTAGTTGCTGAAACTGACCTTTCCGAAAGTGTTGTCCTCAAGTTGGGGGGAGCATCAAGTGAAAAGTTAGGCATTTCAGATGGCTTCCATAGTCTTGATCTCGGGGTTGGTGAAGTTCCTCGTGAAGGTATTGGCTGCTTCAACAAGGCTGGAGCTGGCTTGGGTATTGAAGAAATCTTAACTGAAGGAGCAGAGATGGTTGGCACATTTGATGGTGTGGACGCTTGCCGCGTAGGTGTTGATGCCCTTGATGCAGGCCTGGAATCAGATAAAGTAGGCCTGGAGTTAGATAAGGTAGTCCTGCTGGTCGGTGTTGAAGATCTTATAGTAGATCTTGACAAGGGTATTGAAGACCTAGAAGGGACCGTGGGTTTGGCTGCAGGAACTGTAGTAGTCTTGATAACAGGAGCTGATGGTTTAGCTGCAGGAACTGTAGTATTCTTCGTGACAGGAGCTGATGGTTTAGCTGCAGGAACTGTAGTATTCTTCGTGACAGGAACTGTAGTCTTAGCAGAAGGAACAGTGGGCTTTGCCGCAGTTACCATTGTCCTAGTTGAAGGTATCGATGTCCGGGAAGTAGGTGTTGAAGGTCTAGATGATTTTAAAGATGTGGTTAATGTTGACCGTCCCGTGGGAGTTGCAGGTCTTGATCCTGGATTCCCTGATGATGAAGGCCTCCTGGTTCCACCACCTGAAGCAGTCAACCCAGGAGAAGAAGCTTGTTTAGAAACCAAGTTGTTTCTTCTACTATGCTCCGGTGGAGGATTTGCCATCTACAACCATAGCAAAATAAATTCAAGAATGACTTTTGTCAAGCATAAAATAATTGTTTAATAATTTTATCACAGCAAGAGTGTAAAATCAAGAGTTATCAATTTATTAGTATAACCCCCTACAAATATTAAGACAAAATATGATTTATTCATAAAAGAAGAAACTTATTCATACAGAAAAAATTTACAGCGAAAAAGGAGGAAAAAGAATATGAAACAAAGGAGCAGACAAGAAAAAGAGATAATCAATATAACAACTGAGTCATCCTTGCAAATGAGACAAAAACTACAATTCCTCAAAACCAGGAACTTAATGTGAAAAGTATAATTTTATTAGTGTACTCAAATCCAATGTAAAAGACAACATCTCCGATAGACCATGACATGATCCAAAAGATTTTGTTAATTTGCTTACTCTAGATTTTAATGGCACGGGAAGTGTGGTTGAAGCACCGAGCTGACTCATAACAGTTTTTTTAGTTTCCATCTCCAAAGAAGGAAAAAGGGGAGTCCCAGGAGGAGTTAGAAGCCTGAAAAGACAATAAGTATGTTGAGCCCCAATTGGACATAAATCACTTTTTTACATCTTAAATAAACATTAGAGCATGTCAAAAAAAATATAATAATATGGCAAGTGGGTAATAATTTCACATTATATAGTAGTGTTTATTCTTTTATTTCTCTTTGCTTCGGACATACAATTAGGGATGGACATCGGTCGGCTTCGGACGGTTTCGGATCAAAAACTATCCACCGTCCAAGACCGTCGGACTGAATATATCAACTCATTTCCGTCCGTTTTACATATTGATTTAAGTGGATATCGGTTTTCTCGGATTGCGGGTATGACCGATGGTTTCATTCGGGTATTATCACTTAGACAAATCGTGAAAATATCAAAATCAAAAACTAAAAACATTAGCAAAAAAGAGAAACTCATCTGTCCGTTTTACATATTTGTTAAATATTATTTTTTCTTTTGAAGCAAGATCTAAAATGAACAATATTTTTTAAGAAAATTTCAATAGAAGTAGAAAATAGAAATGTGTGTTTCTTTTTTTCCAACATAGTTGCAGTAAACTTACACATAAAGATGTTAATGAGATCTTAAAAATGGTGTGGGTAAAAGAGCTCTCATGGAAATTTTGTCATGTACTGTATGTTTTAAGAACAGATTAAAAATAGTGTTTGGGTGTGAAATGTTGTGTGGTGTCTTGAGTGAGAGAAAGGAGAGAGGAAAGCAATTGTGAGTGAGAGAAAGAAGAAAATGAACACACGTTTTGTTCAGCCTCATAACATTGAATATATTGCTTAGCAGCACTTGAATGGAAATATATAGTTGCAACTCTTTTATCAATTGTGTTTGAGAAAGAAACTGAGAGAGAGAGAGAGAGAAGAAAAAAAGTGTAGTTTATGTGATAACTGAAATCTAACTTTACGTTTAGAAATAAAAGTATGATTAAAACTAAGTATAACTCTAGAAGTTTCAAGTGTTCATATTGAATACTGTGTTTTGAAAAGACAATTCCACTTATTTTGAAATTGAATTGTAAAAGTGCATTAAATATTAACATGGAAGAAAATATGATAGTATGTTATTAAATAAATATATTACTTCGGTCGGTTACGGTTACAAACGGTATATTTATTCTCATCCACATTTGTCAGTATATATCCACTTGTAACTGCAGTAATCAAATTCTAGATCCGATGACCCAACCGAGCCCGTCCGCACACCTATTTCATGGATCGGATTTACCGGATCTCGGACGGATCCGGTTGACTTGTCCACCCCTACATACAATGTCTATGCAAGAACCTTTGTCCAACAAAACTACCAAACTTCATTCCAGAGTTGACTACATATATCAGACCTTTATGTTTCACTCAATACTAGTAGAACTTTGGAGTATTGGTTTTCTTTTGTGGGATGGATAGAGTAATAGTAACACCTAATTCTATTGGAAAGAACATGCTATATCATTGGACCCTATATTACTAATTAAGGAATAAGTTTTGGCTTTTAATTTGCTTAAGTAAGATGAATGACTTCAAAGTTAATGACAATGAGTGCTACCTACACCTATACTCACGGGGCAATAGAAAATAAATAGAAACTTCCAAACTAACTGCCATTGTTAAAAATTTTACCAGCAAGTTGAAGAAAATGACCAGACATCTCTTACTTTTTCTTTATTTTTTGCCTTCCCTTTAATGTGAGAGATCAAAGAAAAAGTTGAATTACTCATACCACATAAGTAAAAGTACCAAAGATAGTATGAGCTAATATCAACCTTAAAAACTTAACTTTCTCTCAATATAGAAACCACATTGTACAATCTTTTAACCAACTAAAAAACAACCTTCAAGCTACATTATTACACTAATTACCAAAACAGAAAGCCATTATCACAAATATTTCATAAAAAAATAAAGATGAAAAAGGCAAAGAAAGGTAGCAGGAACAAACACATACCAATCATAGTCATTCTTATCAGTTTCAGAATTGAGAAAATCATCCGCACCAGTCTTTCGCACAGGAGCTTCAGTTGATGATGAAATGTTAAATAAGGAAGAAGTCCTCAGATTAGAGCCTGCAACACACAAAAAATCACAAAGGATACCAACAAGTCAACAACAAAAACAAAAACAAATTCAACAACAAATGATTTTTCAGTTCTTCACCATCATCCATCTAAAGATACAAAATATAAATTCACCACAGAAAAAAAAAACTACAATGCATAATAATCATCAACATCAAGGTTTTAAAAAATGGTCTATTACCGCCAACGACAAATAAATATTGGAAGGTGCCGATACAGAAATAGTAATTCACATTTTTATATTGAAATTGTAATTAATTCACACTTCGACAACCGCAGTCAGTGTCGCAACATGTGAACCGTCTGCAGTCGCGAAATTCTTTACGATCGTTGTTTATATATATAATTTGGTAGGAAAAGTTTGTTTATCCATAAAATGATTAATAAAATTACTAAATCATCTATGTATCTATCTATACACAAAATTAACGCATTAATCACACTACCTAATTAATTTCCTTATTAGCAATTACCTAATGCAGAATCAACGAATTCTTCATTAGAATCTCGTAACAGAAGATCATCATTCTCATTCTCGCAATTCTTCATCTGATTAAACAACGCAAGCTCGTCATCCTTATCGACAAAAAACGACGACGATCTGGAAATCCCTAATTCACGACGCCTCTGTCTCACCGCAGTTAGCATTTGCGATTCCGAAGCTCTGAAGCTACGATTCATTCCGAAAATGTTGGGAATTATGAATTTAAGGCTCAGTGGTGTGGTTTTTGGTGATGAGAGGAAGAAGAAGAAGGAGATAGAGGGAGTGCGAGTGTGAGTGGGGTTCTAGAAAGTTCGAAATGAGAAAACGTGAGAAGGATGAAAGTGAGAGTGGCATTAGTGGAATTGAGGAAGAGGGTGGTGAAGGAAGGAGAGAATAGATGATGTGCAGTTGTTGTCGTTACGTTACGTGTTTCTATCACTTGAATGCTACGTTACATGGTTGGCTTGATTTGATCAATTAGTTACAACTATATTATAAATTTTTAAACACCAAATTATTCTTTTTTATTCTATCATTTTTCAGCCATGTACCAATCATTTTGAACCGAAAAATCAGACTCAACTACAAAATTACTCAATATAAGCTGAAAAAAATTCCTCTTTTCCTTCTTCAAAGTTATTTCTTTTATCCCTTCTATACTCTAAAACGGAACTTGAAATAGTATTATTTTCTTACATTTTTCATTATTCTCTCTGTAATGTGTATTTTAATTAATATTAATTCATTAATATAATAAATTAATTGCACTGGATGTTGACTTTAATGTAAAAGTAGAACCGAAAAAAAGGGTGTCCGTTTCATTTTCTAACTAACAACTTTCTCCTTCCTGATTTATCCTTTTTTGAAAAGTGTTTTTTTATTTATTTGGTTTTTAGCCTCACACCAATTATATTTCTATATCTTGAGGGACTCCATGGTACCCCTCATTTTCATATAGTTTTTATTGTGAAGTTTATTTAAGCACCCAAGAGTGTTTTTTTTACTCAAGCATCCAAGAGATAATCATTTACTCTTCTCATATGAAAATTTATATTAGGGTTATTCCACTAAATGTAAATTGAAAAACGTCTTTGGTCCCTTGGACTTCAACCACCACAATTTAACATTATCTATCAATCGCAAAGACTTGAAATTTTGTTGCAGAAAATCCGCAAGTTTCATTCTTTTATAATAATTTAGATGGTCGTCAATAAGATGACATGAATCTCAGACATTTTTACAAAAAAAATTAATCTATTAAATTGAGGGCATGTGCATCAATTACATTAGCATCAGTGGTGAGAATTTTCGACCATGGAAGAATGTCACTCTAAATTGGATCAAAATTTTGTGACTCTAAAAATAGATACGGCGAGTTCTCTTCCTTTTCATATCCACTTCAACACCCGATAAATTCTAGTTGTACAATTATTCATCATTTTAAAATGTCTTTAGTGGGAATCATGTCTTTGATGAGCTTCCACGCTACTAGAGACATTTAAAGAGGCATAATTTTGTGTCAAATAATCTCTTGGTTCGGGGCAGTATTAAATTGATTCTCATGTATCCGTATGTGATATCAGCCTTTTTTTAATAGACATCTTCTCGATTAAGGGACTACACTCATCTTTTAGGAAAGTTATCATGTAAAACAATGTTGTCCAACATAGAACAACATGTTGCCACCTGCTCCTTCTCTTAAGCAAAAAATATCACCCGCCATCTCCATTCTAAACCCTCCAAACTTCCATCCTAATATATGCATCTCAACCACTTAAATAATTTGATAGATCGATAACTCATAAAGACAACGGAGCCTAAAACATAGACTTCTTCCTCCAATCAAGGATCTCTCCAAAAGAAAGTTCCTTCCCCATTATCTACTGAGCAAAATAAATGATCATCTAACCACCGACTCCACCTTAGGTCGTCCATTCTCTAACTCTAGAAATATCCTTCCATCATATTAAAGTCCTATTACCTTTATTATTTATACTACCACCCATTACCCTATATTTTATTGCCATGCCTTATATCATAACTCATCCTGATCAACTTACTACCTCCACAAACATTTATCTATCAAGACTAAATTGAAATCTTTTACCCTCTAAATCCTTAACCACTTATGTCCATATCTTAACACATTTTGTTTCAATTAATACAATAGATCTTACACACATCCTTACTTCTCCTACCTACAAGAAAGACTTAAATAATGATCCAATTGAAGAAATAATATATGTAGAGCCAAAAAAAAGAAATAAAATAAACCGATTAAATAGAACATGATTGATGAGTACAAGTTTATCACTCATAAAGAGATTTTGTATTATCCACTTACATAATTTATTTTTAATTCTCTTCAATCAAAGAGCTCTAGAACGATCGCCAATGGAGATTACCCGCAATTGGGAGACCAAGGTAAAGAAACGGGATTTGACCAATTTTAGAATTTAACACCACTGGAGCCTCTAGCATCCACGAATCCACTACATTAACACGGACCAATATAATAATGTGAAAACTAATCTCCAAACTCAAGATCACTTTAGAAAGGATCATCTCGCTTTTAAAGATCTAGTATTTTTTCAAATCTTCTCACTTAAAATCAAAGTGTTGTCTGTGAATTGGAAGTGGGAGGTTTTGAAATCAGAGTCCATATTGATCCTATAACCTATAAAGAGATAGAATTGATTCAAATGTTTAACATGACATTCAAGCTTTATGTCGTTATGAAGAATAAAAAAGGTGACAGAGGATTTTGCTACCTCAAGTTTTTCCCTCTCGCAAATACTTTAGTTAGACTTCTATTAAGAGCAACTTTAGTGCAGGGTTGTTAAACCAAAATTCTTTATAGCTTACGTTAGTAATAAGGAATTTGCATTATAGTAGTGCTGACATGGCATATAGAATGCTCTAAAACTAGTTTACGTGCTCTACACAAGCAACGTACTCTAACTCATTATTTAACATAAATAATAAATTTTTATTAATTATTTAACATAAATAATAGATTTTTATTAACCATTTAATACTATGTGGGGTCAAGTTTTGGTTTCTTATAGACAACTACCATTAAAGTAAAAACTTCTCAAATCAACTATAAATTTTTTAAATCCTACAAATCACTTTGGTCCCACAAAAAATATCTTAGTTTACCCAGGTAGTTTACTCCCACTAAAGATGCTCTAACAAGAAATGATGCTAAAGATGACTGAGTACACTTCTTCATCTATTGCTTTCATCTTTCAAGGAATCACATATATCTCATTACAATATTAAAATACGCTTATTTATATTAATTATAAACCTTTTCAAAGTCTACTTTAAACAAAATGAACTATTTTTCTTCTTATTTACATCGTCCACCACTTCATTTTCTATAACAATGTCATCTAAAATTTGTTGTCCCTTCACAAAAGTTGATTGTGCATCGAATTCTACATTGTCGATCACTAATATTAGATGATTTCTAAGAAATTTGGACAAAACCTTATACATACAATCGACTAAATAAATATATTGGTCAAAAAAATCAGACAACATTTAAGGGTTATTGATTTTTGGAATTAGGACGATAAATGTACAATTAGACCCTCGCACCAACTTGATATTTGTAAATAATTATAACACAAATCTCGTAAAATCTAATTTAAGATTTGACCAAAAATCTTTAGTAAAACAAAAAATTAACTCCATCATATCCTAGATTCTTGAAACTTTCACAATTCCACATAGCTTCGTTCACCTCCGTCTATGAGAACTACCACAGTAATCAGATATATTGTTGTCTTTGAGTATCTTGAACGGTAAGTTATTCATCTAAGTCTATCAAAATTTATGTATTTGAAATGATTCTTATTCTGGACTGGACCAGTATTTGTCCCACAGTCGGGCAGGCTCAATCTAATATCACATTGGATAGGCCCAACAAGGCTCAATCCTCCTCCCTGTCGGACACGCTTTACTGTCAGACAGGTCACTGCCTAGCTAGCACGGGGAGACCCTGCGTGTCTTCCCCACGTTCTCCACGTGCCCCCCACGCGGGGGCACACGTCATCAGCAACTACCTACATTCGAAAGAACAGGTCACCCACCTTCCGAAGATCACGGGCCAGTTGACCCAGGGCGAAGATCACGTGTTAGTCTTTCCTATGTCATGTAAGTCCTGACAATTACTCGTGTTGGGCCTTAGATTGCAAAGTAACCTTTGACCCAGCGTTGGGGGCGCATTATAAATACCCTTTTTCACTAGAGAGTCAGATATTCTAAACTCTACACCTAATTTTTGTACTTGCTCTCTCTAACTCCGTTACTCACTTTAGTATCGGAGTACCTTGCAGATAACACCCCCTCCTCCTCTTTAACAACAGTAAACATAGAAGTTCACGACGCGTATCAGACTGCTGATTTATTTCTGATTCGATAAGATCCATTTTTAAAAGGCTAAACACCATCTCCCTAACACCCATTACTCATTCCAATCTTAACATTGTTGACGACAATACTAAGAATTTAATTTATATAAAATGTAAATTAAATCAACAGAAAAAAAAAAACTTATAGTTCTCATTTAAACATTGAGTGCACCAATTTACTGAGGGTTCAAGTTAAATTTTGAGAGAAAAAGATACCTACTATTACTAATAGTTATAAAGCAAATATTATCTCACTTAGTTATAAATGGATTTTGTAATAATCTGTTAAAATTAATCAAAAATCTAAGAAAAATAGTTAGATTTCATCAAGAATTGATTCTATACAAAACATGCAATATTTTTTTAATATAAACAATAAACTGTATTTGCAAAAACTCATCATGTATTTTATTTTAATAATTAAGTATAATAATTAACAAGAAAAATATTACAAATTTTAACCTGTTGTTGCAGTTTCTATGGTTGCATGAGCCACGAGGAACCTCTACGAGCTAGGTGGGCAAGAAATTAATTGAAACAAATTATACAAATTATACTTGTCTCTAGTGATGAGTTGTGGATAGACAATTGTATTTTTGTGAGTTCACTTACAAGTTTTGAAAAGGTAACGTAAAATAAATTAACAATTATTTAAATAGTAAACTTAATTTTTATATTAATATAACAATTTTCAAATGACATGTCACGAGTGTAATAGAATAAACCTTTATAATATCCAATTATAATTTATTTTGGCTTTTAGGTAGCCATAACAACTTCAATCTATGAAAAGAACACACCCTAAATTGATATCACGGGTACATTAAAATTTATTAAAAAAATATATATATTGCATAAATACTAAAATATTTGAACCGTGAACTATATTGCATATTATAAATAATTATTGAACCTAATCAAGTGACAAATAAACGAATTGAAACTAAAAAAATATACTAAAAGCAAGTTTAAAATTTTTATTAAAAGTATATATCAAACCAATACATTTGATTTGATTCTAAATAATTTGAAACCCTTTGATTCGGTTAAAATGACCTTTTGGTTCGATTTTTAGAATGAACTATATTATGAGTTGCCCTAGTAAACGTTGCTTTTGAAGTTGACTATAACAGTCAGAACAAAATTACATGTTCCACACTTTAACACTTATATGTACAAATTATAAAGCAAACTCATTTTTAACCAAACTTATATGTACAAATTTCTTCACATGTCTTACAATGAGTGTAACACTTACAATAGAATTATTGAATGGCAATGGAATAGGTTAGTTTGGCATTTTAAGGCTCAAACCAAAGCCTAAAAAGTGGCAAGTCTAAATAAAGGCAAATAATAACATGAAATGCATTATTGAATAGAAGTTTGCACATTAGTTTTTTTTTACATCAGAATTAATCATTTAAATGGAGTTTTGGGCAAATGCTGATTTTGCTAAATTGCCTCTATAAAATCCACATTCATTGAACAAGAGAGGAAAGGAGATTAAAGAATATACAATTCAATAGTCAGAAGGAGGTGGTTAAGCATCATCTGCATCACTTCCACCATGTGCTTCATGGCTGCCCCAATAATTACTGCCGTCAGGACCTAATACTTTGAACCTGACCAAAAAAGCAAACACTTGTACAATCCCTCGTATAGAATTACCACTCAAAAACTATGTGCCTCAAGTCTGAGATGTGTCGATGTTAGGTACTTACACGATCCAGGCATATGTCGTTATACTAATTTTCTTTCATTTTTTAAATTATTATCACGGTCAATGTATCAATATTGTGTCTGAAGTGTTTGTGCTTCATAGCTCAAACGACATTGTGTGTCAGTGTCGTGTCAAGTGTGTTTGTGCTTCATAGCTCAATCGACATTGTGTCTCAGTGTCATGTCTGGTGTGTTTGTGCTTCATAGGTTAAACAACATTGTGTCTCAGTGTCGTGTATGGTGTGTTTGTGCTTCATAGCTCAAACAACATGGTGCGCCAGTGTCATGTCTCGTGTGTTCGTACCCCATAGTTCAAACGACATTGTGCATCAGTGTCGTGTTTGGTGTGTTTGTGCTTCATAGTTCAACGACGTCATAATGTCAATGTGTCAATGTGAATGTGTCAGTGTTTGAGCTTTATGGCTCAAATGGCATCACATTACATTCAAAAATGTTTTCGCAAACATTAATTTTACTAACCGTTCAATAACAGATTTTCCTTCTTTGTATTTCTGGCTCTTTTCATGAGCAGTGATCTGAAAGAAACCAAAAGGGTAACTCAATGCAGCAAAGAAACAGAAAACAAAAGCAAAATTTCTCAGTGGCGAGTTAAGTCTTACATATGTCCAACCCACAACTGACCCACAACCAACACAGAAAATGTCAGCCACGGTATGCATCCCAGTGATCATAGGTCTGTCCTCCTTTTCTCCAATAGTAACATTTGCACTGTCAAAGCATACAACAATTTTAACTATATCAATGAACAGAACAAACTGCAAAACATAACTGGGTGAGAATTATAGAGGTTGGGAAGCAAGAAGCCAGTCAATAAAAGAACATAACTAACAGAATATCGGTTTCGGTTATTAAAGGAATGACAGAGTGATAAAGAACAGATGTCATGGATAACTTACACCTTCCGAAAGAGATAAGCTTTCCCATGTCTGCTGTGGAAAGCCTGAATAAAACAGCACAAACATTTTTTAAACGACGGATAGTAAATCGTCCGTACCATCTAATAAACACCATTAAAACATCTAAGAAAAGATTAAAGTTTGGAAAATCGCAACATTTTCAATTTAAGCAGGCCTAAAAATTTTGGTTATTCATTATTGGCACATTGACATTCACAAAATCTGAATAGAATGGCTTTTCAAGTTTTCATAGCTCCTCAATGAAATAGGCCAAACAAGCCCAACAGGTATCCTAATCAAACTATCAAAGGTCCTGAAAAACAGTCTGCGGCAGTGAAACTGTCAATTTTCACGGCCGCGACAAAATGGTATTGGCATATACCGATACCGATGCCATTATTAGCCACTTTTACTTTACAGAACAATTGTGGCTAATTCACACTGCGACTACTTTAACAGAATCATAGTGTACGATCTTAATTTTGTCAAACTCACGGTGAATTCAAAAACCTAAATGAAATTACAATCCCAGAAAGTAAAAAAAAAACAGATAACGGGATTAAAAATCGAACCTTTGAAACGATATCTTCAGAAACAGCAAGAGGAGTTCTACAGTGTTTACAGCTATAGATCTTCCCTTCAAGATGAACAATAAACAACCTCCCCATCTCTAAACAACGAAAATTCTACGAAATAACTGAACAAGATAAAAAAACAGATTTTTAGGGTCAACGAGAAAATCAACAAATACAGAATCGAAATTGAATCACGTAAAGGGTGAAATTAAATCAATGAATATAAAGTTATGATGTGAATTAAGAAGATGAAGAGGGTGAAGAGAGAAACGGTTGAATCTCACCTTGGTTTGGTTATGGAAAGAAGAGTACGCAAAAGGAGTTGCAAGAAATTTGGAGAGAGAATGAATCAAACATCGCTTTTTCTGAAAAAGTAGTACCCGACAAGATTCGCGTTGTGTTTATTTTATTTTTACAATGTTTTCTTTTTTTTTTGTTGTTTAATCATTAATGCAACATGGATTATTTTCTATACTTTGCTTGCAAAACAAAACTCTTGTATCTTCTACTATACTACATTTTCTAACACATATTTTAGTATTTTTTTTATTGATTATTTTCTTATAAAGTTTAACTAATTTATTTTGATAGCATAATGATTTTAATCAATAAAAACAAGATTGTTAAAGAGTAGTACTAGTCCTATTTACAGAAAAAGTTTCTTTTTAAATTAATTAAATAAGTAATATATCTAAACAAAATATAAATTAAATATATTAATTATTGAACAAATTTAAAACGTAAATTTTTCTTATAAATAAAATAGATTATCCTATTTAAAATTCTTTAAAATAAATCATTTACATCTTTGGACTTGTAATCAAATTAATAAAAAAAATGTCAAATAAAATACTTTTTTCTTTTTATATCTTTTTACATATAATAATATAAATTATATACTTTATTATTTATCAATATTATTGCATATAATAATATACTTCTATAATATATTTATTATTTAATATTTTATTTATTTTGTAATAAATAATATCATTGATAAATTTATAACTAATATTAAATGGAATTTTAAAAATAAAACATTTTTTTAGAAGCGACAGGTAAAATAATAGAAAGGGTAATTACTTATTTTAGTACATATATATATATATATATATATATATATATATATATATATATATATATATATATATATATATATATATATATATATATATATATATATATATATATATATATATATATATATATATATATATATATATATATATATATATATATTGGCGCGACATAATAGATTAATGATATATAGACAAAGAGCTCTTTTAATACGATGGGGCATGCCTCAAATGCGAATAACAGAGTTATGCTTGTAAGATTATCACTTCAACTTCCAAATTAATGAGGTTAAAAAGATATAACTTTGAAAGGAAGAGTAAATGAAGAAGTATATGTTATGACGCATAGATAAATTTATATGTGGCTGACCATTAAAATCATTCCTGATGAGTCCAATGTGGAATGCAGGAGACCGTTGGATTGAATTCTGTGAGTAATTTAGATATGGTGTGAAACCCTCTTGTGAAAGTTTACATGTTCCTCGTTCTCCTGCAAAGGTACTCTGGATTAAATATTTCATGTTAGGCCAATCTTGTTGTGTCATTTGGGCTGCCCAAAATTGTTGTTCCTCCCTATCCCTTTCCCCTCAGTCCTTGTTATCGTGTATGAAGTTAGGATTGTGATAGAAGTTATGGCTCTCTTATAGACCTCTTTTCTTTGTCGATTCGATGTGCCTAGGTAGATCCTTATCTTGGAGACTGGGTGGGCTATAGACATATTGAGTGGGAATAGGTGCATTAAATGTTTGTATTGTAACTGAAATGTTTGTCATTTTAACTTCTCTGTGTGGCCCAAGGATACAAGGTCATGGAGTGGCGACGTTGTTATAGCACTTAAGTGTCGTCATGGCATCGAAGCTAATTTTGAGTCGTTAATCCTGCCTTGTAGTATTCTTATTAATCTCAATTATAGATTTGCATTTCCTGGTTATCTATAAAAAAAGATCGATCGGCATAAGTTGTTATTTTGCTCCTTTTGTCACAGAGCTTTATATATATATATATATATATATATATATATATATATATATATATATATATATATATATATATATATATATATATATATATATATATATATATATATATATATATATATATATATATATATATATATATATATATATATATATATATATCTCCCAATCATTTTTTATTTGGAAGTGATCTGATGCTTGTTTTCTTTGACCTTTACTCTCGCACTTAGGCCATTTTTATCGGTTTTTGATGATTCTACATTTGCCCATTCAACTCAAGCTCTACAATCTTTTCAAGGTGTAACACTTTCTTTATCTTCTTGTTCACTTGTTTCAATTTATTGCTTAGTCATGGCCAACGTAGAAAACCTGAACATTCTCTTAGTCGACTTATCTAATAGAGATGATATAATTAAAGTTCTTCGTGAACTGGGGTGGTAGAACTTAAAATATTGGATGTGGTCCTTTTAGCGATGAGATATCCTCCTGTAGACTTTATAGAATACATAGCTCTGACATTATGGGGGGCTCTGGAGGTGATAGTTAAGGGTTAAAGGGTCCTCCAAGATGAGGAGAGCATTGAGACGGATATATAGGAAGATGGTGGGCAAACCCACTTAGGATTGACATTGGTAAAGTTGGTTGTGCATTTGCTTTCCCTAAAATCTCCATTATAAACCAGTGTCAGTATATGGAGTATCAATATTAATTTAAGACTCATATTTATATCAAGGGTTTTAGGCGTTTCCACAATCAAGAACCAAATGATTATGAAGTTAAGTGGTGGATTGAATTTCTGTTGTTGCATGTCCTTAATACATTTAGAGGAATGCCCTAATACGGTAATTTTGTTGTTTGTCTTATCGCTTTCATTCTCATTTACTTTTGATTATTGAGTCTCCTTCATAATTGCACATCCTTTATGAATCAAGTTTGAATCGATTTGTTTTTTAGCATGCATAAACCAATTCTTATATTGAGTTTTGATCATGATGGTTTAAGTCAATTTCCTGAGTTAGTGAAACAAGAACAATACGTGATATGAACTCAAGTAATTTGGGTAGTAAAATCTCAAACTATTTTGAAAAGCTTTAAAATTTAAGATTTCTTATGTGTGATTTGAATCACTAACAATCCATGATTTGAATCAATCATAACAGAGGAAAAACAAGAAAATTTGGGTGTTTGTGATTCAAATCACAAGAATACACCTAATTTAAATCATGCTAATTTGTGATTAGAATCACATTTTGTACACGATTCGAATAAAAAACTTCTTATTTGCCATTGTTATGTTTGACTTGAATCAAGCTTAACACATGATTCGAATTATAAATTTGTGTGACTCGAATCACAGTCAAATCACATGATTTCATTATGAGACCTTGTTTCACACTACTTGCTTACTTGACTTAAATCATGAAATGCACTTGACTTGAATCTAACTAACTTTTTCCATCCATTTTTAGGCTTAATCTCAAACACATAGAAAATGATTTTGTCATCTTATTTCCAAAAAAAAAATTGTGTGAATCTCATAATCAACATTGTGATTTTCTGTGAAAACTAACTCCCTCTCACTTTTGGAAGTTCAAAAACTCTTGCAATCGATTTTCCTTCCTCTTCAACTTATTTTTTATTTCAGATCTTGGTCATGAGAGATTTGTAATTTGATTAAAGGAGACGCTGTCTTAAACTAATCATTCTTGAAGTTTGATTGAGAATTTCAGGTAGCTTCCAAGATTGAGGTTATTTTCATTGGTGTTGACAAATTCCAGTGAAAATAAAGAGGTTCTTCTCTCCAAATTACCTTGGTAGTGGTTGTGTGGAAGGCGTCAGACAAGGCAGAGTTCTTCTCAAATCTTTGGATAATTCATCACTTAAGAAATCGGTAGGATCAAGGGTTTGATAGCTAAACACAAAGACTTGGAGAAGATTGGCGATATTGGAAAATTCAAGAAGCTTTGATTGAGTAAAGATTACGCAAAATATTTTGGCATTATGTTGTATACAAGTCAAGATCTAGATAGGAGGTTTTATATTCCTCAGCATTATGTTGTATACAAGTCAATTGGTGATTGAATGAACTCTTGAAAATATTTGTCAAATAAAAAGGAACAATGCAGGTTCTAGTGGAAAACCATTGAAGAGTGCACATAGGCAAAGCGAGGGGGAACACAAAAGTACTATAAATCTCGGTGTCATCATTTTTGTAGAATTTTCATGCTTAGGTATTTCAATTCTAGTGTAGTTTGTCATTTATTCAATTGGTAGCGATTTATTGCGTAAGCTTAGGTTTTGTTAGAATTAGGTACCTTATCGAGCTGAATTGGTGATTAAATTCTGAGAAACAATTGAGGTTAAAATTCATTAACATTGAATCATTGTATAGACACGTCTCATGGATTATACAACTGAATTAAGTGAATACCTTGTGTATCATCATATAGTGTTAACATTATCAAGTTTAGAATAGTATAATTTTCATGTTTATGCTTCAAACCTTGCGCGCGCACTTTTGAAAAATCTCTAATAATCAGTTTTTTGAAAAAGCAATTGAATTTTTTTATAAGGGTCTATTCATCACCACCACCACCATCCCTGTAGACCATTTTTCTAGTTCCATATTAACATCTAAAAATTTTGGTCACGTTCTATAACTCATAATCATTATTTTTCACTCATTGACAATGAAGATGTGATGGTTTGGAGGAAACTACAGGATCTCAAGCTTCTTGCTAACGTATATCATTACTCTTAGGTGGAACGAGATATCTTGGGCACAACATATATCTCCAATTAGGAACGCCAGAAAGAGCACGTTTGTTGCAGCATGAGACTGCCTTTTGATTGGTCGAAACTGCAAGTATATCCCAAGAAAAGGTTATGCAACCGCTTAGACGAGTGTTCATTTCCCCTGCATGAGTGTTTTTTTTCTAGAATAAGATTCAAACTTCCTTTCAAGGAGTTTGAGGTAGGGATTATGAATCATTTAACGATTATCGGGTCCGAAATGTATCTAGTGAGTTGGGCTTATGTA